CTGGGCAGCGACAACAAGGGGTGCTGAGCCAGTGCTTCTTTGCAGTCCTGCCACCGCTAGCTCTAATGCTAGAGGGAGCAGTACGAAACAAACCAAAGTTGGTACTGATGATGATCCATAGTCCCAGACAGAGTTGGGACGAAGGAGCTTGAAAGAGAGAAATATACGGGAAAGTTGGTTTGGCAGGTCAACACACAATGCGTAGTGAGGGGTTCGAGGGTGGCCAGTCGACGACGAGGTGTGTATGTGGGTAGATGAAAACCGGGCTCAACGGGGAAACTCCTGCGGTCAAGGGGAAAACGACAGCGGGAAATCACAGGACGTCGAGCGCATGGGGAGAAAAGTTCAGCTGCTGGGGTCTTAGAGTAAGTGCATGGTAAACACAGAGGGGAGGTATAAATGACATCTTGTGGACACAAGACAGGATATGCCATGCCGTGTCAAATAAAAGAAAGACAAGAATATAAAACAAACTCTTTCTATTAGGAAAAAGAGTAAGTAATGTGCATGGTACCATGTCATTTGAACCCAGTACGAGCATCAGTATTCGCCGCCATTGGGGGACCTCCAGCTAGGCCAGCTAGCAGCTCTCCACCACTAAAATGTATGGGTGGCAGAAAACGAGAAAAAAAGAGAAGAGTGTTTGCAAATTGAAAGATGCATTAGATGAACGCTTGGCGGCTCATAGCATAGAATTTGGGATAACTAAGGTATATCTGCGTATCTATCCTAACGTACTGCTAAGTATAATGTATAGTTGAGTACATACTATACAGTGTGGGCCTTAAAAGAAGAGAGTAATCTTTTAAAGCGAAACCCCTCTATTGCTGATTATTTAACTAATTAAAAATACCACTGAAAGGCGACAGTAAGTTTTTAAAGTAAATGTAATATTTGGGAGGGATAAAATTACTATCTAGAGCCTATCAGTAAAACGTTCAACTTAGAAGATATCATTGGCCGTTTGAACAGCAGCAACACATTTGAAGTTCCAGTCAAAATATATCTTCATCGGCCAAAACTAGTCTAAGATAAACTTCGTTACATTACGAGCGTTTTGCTCTGAATACGTTTGTAGGCAGATTCAATGTTTCATGACGCGAAAAATAAAAAAGGCATGAATTTGCAAACACCTTCGATAAACGCGTCGTGACGGTTTTCGTTAACAAAATGAAGCTATATCTAGTAGATAAAAAGGTTTATGATTTTATTTGTTAATTTTCCAAATACAAAGTTAAGTCAAAGGACGTATCTAAAATAATTGACAAACGAAAATAGGTCGTGCTACAATTGAGGTATTCCTAGTGTTATAATTATTCATGATTCATGCATTCAACATTGCATTGTACCCCTCATCTGTGACTTATAATTGTTGATGTTAAGCCCCCTAGACATCATCCCCTAAAGTCGGCCTACACATGCTTCTTGCACAATTGATTAGTGCGTAAGCTAAATTTTCTCGTGTGGGTAACGGGGGCTTTATAATTCTGAGCAGGCATTATAAAGGCAGCACAGATTTGGATGCACGTCCTTTTACGTGGCCGCGTATTTGCGTGTGGATCTTTTTCATGAATAAATTTAGAAGATCTGTTCAATGTATTTCATGCGCCATTCCAGCCATGTAGCCGGTCGTGTGTTTGGTAACGTTCATTTTTCCTATTTCATTTATTACCTCCGTTGCTGGAAAGCGTCAGGTCGGCGAAAACGGCAAACGACAGATGCAACCTGCAGTAAGGAAAACTTACCATTTGTGACCGGCACAGACATCTTTTGACGCGCATATACAAAAGACGCTTTTCTTATTGCTGGCGGTTTACATCGAGTCTCTACCATCCATTGAGCCATTCATAGGACTATAGAAATAGATCGTGCTTCACTCAGCAATGGCTGTGACGGTGTCACGCTACCTCGCGCCTCACAGGTTTATTCGTGGACCTACTGAAGGATCGACTCGGATGTAGATACGGATATAGAAAGGAAACTTAGCTGACGGGAGAGGGTTAATTGTTCGTTTCATTGTGGCCAAGACGCGGTTGAACTATATATAATTATATAACTGCAGCATCCTTATAGCTTCCATCGTTTCTGGTGCTGCATAATATATCGTTCGTTGCAGTAAACAACATCGAGGGTTGTACTACCTGGATCACAAAATATTAGACGGAAACCTGAATAGAGCCAGTAAATAACGGACGCACATGCTATTTTATTAACTCTATTTTGAAAGAGCATTAACAAGGGAACTTAAAGCAGCTTGACTGTGCCGGGAGTTCTGTTCAGCATATGGGCTCGCTTATATGCTCAGGGCAGTCGTATCACATCGAGCTCGTATGGGGGCGCTGCGTATATACAGATATCGTCGTTTCTGATTTGTAATCAGGAATGTCGCTACGAGAGCCACACACGATGCCGAGCACGTAGTTTTTCTTCAGATATGTGAAGTCTTCTGATACACAGGACGTTCTTAGTCCTAATAAAGGGCACCAGACTTAAGTTTTGCTTCTGCACTACGGATTGGACGCTATGAGATTTATTAGTCAATATGAGTATGCGCCGATAGTCGGTGGCTGGAATAGCTAAATATCAGTAAGCAAGTTTCAACACGATTGGTGCTTTCGTGTTGCTTATCGCCCATTGCATCAAATCGTCTTATGGTAGTCGATTTGATGTCTTAGTCGCAATACCTTTTTATTCGAGTTGGTTTATACTTTTGTAGTATATTGAGAGATGGTACCTTTAAAATGGTTTACCCTGACAAAAGGCTCCAGTAGAAACGGTCTTCTGTACATTATTAACTAAACCCAAGCCAAGTTAACAACTGTTTGAATTGTGATCACAATGCTAAGCTGAAATTTAAAAAAAAATTAAAAGAAATTTGATTAGGTGATCTATACAAAAACCTCTTTAGAAATCCAAAAAATGAAACCAAGCCGTTGGTTGATGCGGGCGTGACTGATGTGCCCTTCAGCACATCAGCTATGTCGACAATATAGCTCAGGAACTCTATAGGAGAAGCATCGTATCTTACTTCTCGTTTAGACGCCCCCGTTACCCCCAAAACTAACTTTCTCCTCGATCTGAATAGAACACGATCGTTGATTACGAAATTGCTTGCTAACTTGGAGCTTTAGATAGAAGACTTTGTTAATCCACACAAAGTGACCGAGTTTAAAAGCATTTTCCGAAAATCTATATATGCTTCCCCATTATCCCGGTAACGCCGACGAAAAGTGATCATCGCACAGTTTTGTTGCTCATGGGGTCAGACTATTTTTCCTAGATTGCCCACCCCGGGAATAATGCACCACTATCAGAGCTTTAGAAACGACGAGCAGACAAACTCGTTAGGGTGCTATAGTGGCCGAGTCAATATTAAAGCAAGTAGAATAGAATGTTATTTTCTTCATCCGAGTTTCAGCCCTGCATTGTATTGTACAACGATCATACATATCCGGTCGGTTCTGCACTTAATTGTATTGAAACGCGGAAAGCTTGCTGACAATGTTGCGGCTGCTGTACTGCTATAGGCATTGTTTTAGGGCTAGAACAAAGAACGAGTATTCGGCTCTTCCTTCCCTATCTAGCGTTCTGGTTCCTCTACCAATACGATGGTTGAAGAGTTGTTAAAGGATATACTCGTCGTTGCTTGCCAGTATTTAGTCAGTTATTTGTGCTCGACCGTTCGTCACTCGTTGAAGAAGTCACGAAGTGCTAAGATCTTTGAGAAGGAACCTACGTTTAGATGAGGTTGCGAGGCAGGCCGGCAAAACGACTTTTAACTTTGGCGCATGGATGGCAATATTCTATAGACTTGGGTGCGACTGCGTCTTCATTGTCACGATGAGTCACGGAGTCCATGGGGTTACTCTCGCTAGGTCAGGATGATCGCTCTCTGCGAAGGGTACACAAGCTCGCAGAGGATTTTTTCGCAGAGAGTCCTACTGTTATAAATTTGACAGCATTTAGCTATTGTATTCACCTGCTCGGAGAGGTACACTGCATTAAAGAAGACTGATCGGCGGCACAGTTTTTCCGGAAAGGGGGACACGAAGAGGCGTATATGCCAGCTATGACGGTATACACCATCTGTGCATGCCGATAGTAGTTTGTGCTGATTCACGCAGAACCGCTCGGTGTACAGCTAAAAGCCGAAAGAGGGTCGAGGATGAGTATGATGACAATGATATAATAATTGCAGTCGTATGAATTTACCACTGCAACAACGGGAAATTGTCCGAGCTCATAAGTTTAAGCGAGTAGCGCCATAAATATGACATGTTAATGCCTGCAAAAAGTATTAAACAGGCATAGAGTAGCGACTACTGAGAGGCAAGTGAAGGAACAAAAAGAACAGTCCATAGGGTATACCCGTGCGGGAACAAGTACATCTAGCACATAGATAGACACCAGCCAATTTCGCTGGCTGGCGCAAATTTCATTATTTCTGTTAAGCGATCAGCTAGTTAAATTATGCAAGAATGTACAATTTTATATTGAGTCCTTCGATTCATGGGGACGCTTCACAAACAGATTTTCTTGCCTTTGTTTACGATGCCTTTTGTTATTAGGAAATCAGAAAGATTAAGAGAAAATAAATTATAGCTTTTCGATACGTCAGAAACTACTACCCTAGGCATACTCTTTTCCAATTATGATGATAATAATAATGATGGCTCGTTGAGCTCTAAAATCCAATGTCGTCTCCAATGAAGCTCTCATAAAAAGCTGGAACGAGTTTCGAACTGATTTATTATCGTTATTTTTCCTATTATATCTAAATATGATAAGCCATATGTTACAATGGGTATGTTAATTTTATACCTAATAAGACAGTAAATCATGATAGAAGGTGACTGAAATCTTCGAAACTGCCTCATGGCATAATTGATATATCTTTTAATAGCTTTTTTAGCGCATAATCACCTAGTACATTACGTTACTAATAGAAAATCCTCAACAAAAGTATGAAGACCATAATATATTTCTATTGCAATTTGTAGAGAGCGTATTTGCTGCGGAGTCGTGTTCAAGGGTCCTCGGGATGAGTTGCTGATCTATCCGAAACTTCTCAAACCATGCGCCTGTCGTCTCCGGAGAAATTCTGCATCTAGCCAACACTCACATTCACAGGTCAATTCTTTGTTCATCAAGTATATAAGAGCCGCGTATTTGTACAATATATATTTTTAACTACGTAGCTTTTATTATTATGGACAACTTTAATCAAGCTACTTATTATTAGTTCCCTTTTTTTTTTTTTTCGCTATTTTTGGTGTAGTAATCATTCGAATTCATATAAGTGTTGAATTTTTCTTAATTTCGTTGTCAATAGCCGCTTAGTTATTTTGTTCGAGCTTAACACTGATAGAGGAAGGGGTGAGAATGACTAGGATTGTTAAATCAAAACCATAGGCGATAGAAATTCTGCCGTCACCTATGTAGGTACAATCGTCGTTTGAAGGGAGTATTTTTAGTAGGACGCCTAAAACTTGAAGAACGCTTCAGTGTGCTATCCTTGGCCATACTTCAGACCGTCGACCCCATGGACGCTCTCTTATTCAGTTTCCCATATCTTGCTTAATTGTTCTCTCTCACCTCTTCCGTTACTTATAATAATAATAAGAACAATGACGACGTCAAACACCGTTGAATACTACTAGAAAAAGCACAACGCTGAAAACGACAGTTCGACCCATTGTGGTCGCTCAGCCCCCACAGCCGATTCGAATAGGCGCTGCTGTGTCTATCATGACGCCCCTTGCGTATCCCCTCCAGACGAGTTATATGTAGCCCTTTTCTAGTTGCTATTAATGGGAAGCGTTCGGATGATAGTTCTCTTCTAAATTTGGACCATCTGTTTCCTAGCACTGGCATGAGATGGCCGCTAATGTTGCCGATGAAAAGCCCCCCAATGCTATAGGGAATATGTTGGCTCGATAATAGGCCACTGTCAGCGGCTAGTTGTTCAAGATGAGTCCGTGCTGGTTGATATCTTGCACCTTTAGACTGACTTTAACATTAACTAACATCGAGGACAAGACGAAGAAAAGGCTGAGCTAGCTGTTCTATGATTTATTGAGTATATATGTTTTTGTCCAACAAAGACGATGGCGTGTGATACGAACGATGACTAAGCAATGGATTCTCATAGGCCTAAAGTCGTAGGTTTTTGGTGACTAAATCGTACCACATGAACCGCTTGTCAACAATACAGCCTTCAGTTAACAGTTATGAACCGTTCATTTTGTTGACACATCGATACCCTTGCACTATTTTTCTTAATTGTCAACTAGCTTTTTTGAGAACCAAACCATTTGGAGACAATAGTACTAAATAAAAGCACACCATAGACTAGGTGTATTTATTTTTTTAGACAGTAGTTTTTGATGCGACACTGACATTGGCCATCTTTATAGATATTTGTAAAATATGCACTATCTAATCCGGTACTTTTTTTTGCAAGAGCTGAAATTTGCTGTTAGCATGTACTCCTCAAAACAGAGTTATAACGAATCGCAGGCCAAACTATAGGATCCCTATGAAACTATAGAACCTTGAATTTTTCCGTATTCCTCTCAGAGTAGTCCTCTCCAAACTCTGTGCTCTAGTTGTTGGTTTTTAACCAAGGCCTCAACTACTCCGATCCTTCAGTGTGCCCCTCCGTCCGTGAACAAATAGAACTAAACGGGCCCAGTGGGGCTATCGGTGCCACTGGTTGGTTTGTAATGTATATACTTATCAGTTCCTTCTCTCTATTTACTTTGTCTTCCGTGGAGATAAAACTATTATATATACTAGCAGTTATTTTAGTATAAGAATCATAGAAGCATGCCTAAAGGTTGAAAAAAACCGATTTTCGAAGCTTCTGATGCGGAACGGCCCTGGCTTGCTGGCCGAATTTCTAAACGATAACGTATCTCCGTCAGTTTGACACTATCGGGCCACATTCGGTTTTTACTAACATAGCTGAAAGAAGTATGATCCGTAGTTTATCATATAACATTCCACACTACGAATTAGCAAGTCGGGAAATGGACAAGAAGCCTAAAACGAGTATATCTCTGAGTGTACTACGGCAGTAAGCCACTAACTATATTAGATAAAGTTAAGGGCTTAATGGCCATTTTCGCTTGTCTAGTCTCATTTGCAAGGTGATTGCTGTTTTTATGCCGCAAGTTGTGACTAATACTCCCAGCTACAGGAACGTAAACACCATACCTATATCTAGGTGTTATGGCTGCCTTTAGACTTTCGGGAAAATGAGCTGAAAAAAATGTCATCTTTAAGACCTCTAAGTCCGAAATGTCGGCCAAGTGTTGACTAGTTTTTCCTTATAGTTCCTTGTACCATTGAGAAGCTGATATTGAAAGGCTCTTTGTTTTTTAAGCTCGCAAAATAAGGGTAAAGCATTTTTCTTTTTTGAAAAAACTCGATTTCCTACACATTTCGATTGATGAATTATATACTGATTTGAACTATGGCGGGTAAGAATTTGAAAAGCACGTCGATGTGGAAATGGCAGAGCGGATTAGTTGCAGCCAGTTTGTAGGATTACTTATTAACGAAGTAGCGAGCTGAGGACAATTCGATAGGTCAGCACCTGACCAAGAGGTCCGGACCTAGGTAAGGCTGTTGCCGCATGCAAGGCCGGAGACTAATCTTGCAGTTTTTTAATCTCAAACACCGCTGCAATAACGGCAGCAAAATGACTTTATCTGAATTTAATCGGTGAAGAAGATAATTGCAAATAAGAGACAACGAAGCTCAGCAGGGTAACTGCAATAGAATACCTGCTGGTGCATACCCGTGTTTTTGGCTTCGGCTGGTTTTGATATCAGACATGTATATTAGATACGGTTCCGGCAACGCAGTTACCAGGCATAGGTCCACAGATCCGTCTAATAATAATAACATTTAGTTGTTTCTTTTTCTGCTTGCGTATTTCACCTTGAATGACTTCATTAGGACTCTAACAGTTCAGCTTGTGTCACGCCGAACTCTGAGGTTCTTCTATTGCCGACGAGTCCGGAATCGCTCAGCACATCAGATACGTTCCCCACAGCATACGGCGTGAAGCGGCATCGAGACTTGACAGATGCCCTTGCCGAAGCCGAGGCGGGCATCGCGGGAGAGGCCGAAGGTGTCCCCGACAGTCCTACAATCAGAACTAACGGGACAACAACAACATCAGCCGCAGCCTTTTTCGTCTAAACGTCCGCGCGTTGTGTGACGATGTAAAGTGCGACTAATAGCTCGGGTCGTGTACGATATTTATCTAGAAATATTTCAAATAGACTTTAGCGCATCTCAGTGTGTTTAGGTCGAACGCAAGGCGACGGCCTTAGTTTCCATTATATGTCTACAAACGTATAAACAAGATAAGGCTTGCTTGATGGATGCGGGGAGGAGTTTACGTAGCCAAAACGATTTTCTCTAAAGCTCCATCGGATAACGGCTATTCACGACGATAGGAAAAATGACAATTGGTTTATGATGAGCGTTAGTATTATTACGAGTGCGGAAATGTTCAGACGTGGATGTTATGTTCCAGTTAGCGCCGATTAGAGCTAGGAAGGCGATGACGGAATCCAGGTCTACTAGCTAGTATTATTATAAGATGAGACAAGATGGCGACGATGTGAGCATGTTGCACAAGTTTTGGTTATCGATTGCAGTCAGCTAGTCTGATTGCGTAGCAAAGATGACGATAACGACGTTGATAGTGCGTAAGTGAGCGTGTGAATTACTGTCTATCTGGCTGGCTGGCCAAAATGTACGAGGATGCGAAATATAAGCGTTGTCGCCATGCGTTTGTGGAGGTACGAAAAGAGTTTAATGTAAGTTTGTTCAAATGAAGACGAGTAATGGGTGCACGACGGCGGTTTGGCGTCCCTTACTGAACAATGAAAATGTACGCTATCTGTGAAAATTAACGATAGCGATATAATTGTTCGTGAAACACGAAAGACATTGTCGGGTGATAATTGACAAAGAAAGATGGCGGACAGACAGGGACGAAGTGTAACAAATGGCGGCGAAGTTAAGGAAAGATGGCACATTTGTAGATCTGAATACGGTCGTCGTGGCGATGGCTGTTATGATGGTTGAGAGTTAGCCGGCTAATCTTGAGCAAGATTAGACCTCCAGATTAGAATGGTGTGATTGATCAGGATATATGATGCGTGCCTGTGTGTGCACAGAATTGTGTTCTGGTTAAGCTTAGCTGGATGTATGCGTCCGCATCTAATCTATGCGAGAAAGCGATGGTGTCGGCGACGACGAATACGTGAACAGCGACCGTAACGGGAAGGCGCCGACAGAACGAGCCAATTCGGGATCCCCTAGCCAGTAAATGGCTCCTATCAATAGAAGAACTACTGATAAATGAAGTATCGATGAATTTATGCTTAGATATATGTGGTCAAGAGAATAGTGGTAGCATAAGGATTACTACGACAAGCTAGCTGACCATTTCTTTCTCGTCTGCCTACCTGCCTGCCTGCCTGCCTATCTATCTGTCTGTCGGCGTGTCTGTTACGTGTGACGGGAGACTGTGTGCGCATGTATCAATCAAATGCATAATCGTGCATCTTCTTCTATATATATATATATATATATATATATATATATATATATATATATTGAAAAAGTCAATATGAAATACAAGAAAATATCTAAAAATATAGCTATATAAAAGTGAAAAGAGGTCCGTATGCTGGATGCAAACTATAAAGTTTGTTGCGTGCAATTCATTTGTGAAGTTCTTCATTGAGGCATGTTCCGCCACGTGGAGATTTCGCCTAAACAAACGATATTTGGTGGCTGCGTACACCGACTGCTTAGTGGAAAAGCTGTGCAAGAAGAGAACGACGTGCCTTAGCGTCGTTATCAAGTCAAATTGAACGGCTTTCGGGGACGCGGTCTATTGCTTGAGCTCGGTCGTAACTGGGAAAGTGTGTGTTCGGCCCGTATAGATTACTCGTTTGGAGAAGATTTCATTTCGGTAGTTGTCAGCGTAAGTCGCACCGTTAGTCGCAGCCAACCGGGGTTGATCTCAAGGCCATACATATGGCCACCACCCTGTCCGACCGGTTTGGGGTATGGCCTAAACCGTACCTATGACGAGGTCCGATCACCTACTTATTGCATGTTCTAGTGTGTGTGTGTCTGTGTGTGTGTGTGTGTGTTAGTGTGTGTGTCTGTGTGTGTGTGCGTGCGTGCGTGCGTGCGCGCGTGTGACTGAAAAAAAAAGTCGACTGTAATTGATTGCAAACAGAAAACAACTAGCAATGACGACGGATAGTGCAAACAAGAAAAAGGTAAAATGATGGTAATATTAATCAAAGATAGCAACAAGAATAATAATAATGCAGAAAAGACGATAATGACAAATAGCATAATGGAAACGAAGAGAGAAGACTGACAATGGGTTACGATTATACTGTACAACAAAAACACAACAGCATACATAACCCACAATGGGGCGAAAAGATCATAATAGTGAGAGACTGTGTAAGCTGTTAGCAGAAGCATCTTTGAATGAGCTACAATTGCAAAAAAAAAAACACGAAACGTCTTCATATGATTGCATACATTATATCGCACATCGGAAGAACGGCTGTGAATCAATACAGACATATTGGTCGATATTAGTCTATGTATTATACGTTGGTTAGAAACGCCAATCGTAACTGTTGCAACCGTAGAGATACAAATAAATATTAGGGATTTCCATATATTGTACAGCGGTAAAAAGGCTATAACGATACTAAAACTAATCATAGGACGAACTCATACAATCATCTACGACGTCTGCGACTTCGGCAATACCTGCAGAAGCAGCAACAGAAGTCATAATTAGAACAAACAAGGGATTAATTTAATTATTTTTTCTTATAATTAAGTTATTATTGTTATTATAGACGAGTATGCGTGGGACAATAGTTCATTATCAGCATGTTTTCAAATGTACTATCAATATACAAAGGGGCCTGGGACTAGTGCGATGAACCGGAACAAAATCATGTGATTGTAGACAGATGCTACGGCGATGCACATTCGTAATATCGAGACGAGTAATAATTTTATGATTATAGCGTCAACCAGAATACTTTTTTATTTAAAAAAAAAAAAAAATTAAGGTTACGTAACGGTAAATGAAGCTATAATATGAGATATATAGAAAGGAACACGAATACTTGTAAAATCATGTGGACTGACTTTGATTGCCTTTCTGGTTATGGGTGCTTAGAAAGTTCAAAGGATGTAGTAGGTAACGCCGATGCCTCATTTCTAGTCTGATTAAACCTAATTAAAAAATATTAATAATAAGAAGGCGCATAAGTAACAAACAATGCATCCCGTTAAGGATATTCTGTGTGGCGTATGTCTAGTTCCCTGAGACAAGGCGAACCTCGCATAGAAAATACTCTTTAGCGTTACATAGATGAGCAAGGACGAGAAAGGGGCAAAAATGCCTTCACTCACACACAGACAGACAAAATGATCTTAATATACTCTAATCTGCATTCATTGTTACAAATTTTCAACGATCTTGTAGCACCTAACAGCCACCACAATCGGGAAACGGTGCATAGATCTGATTCCGAATTTTCAGCTTGGGCTATCTTTCCACGATGTCCAATTTTGCAATGTCGAACACCTCAGTCAAGCAATACCTAGCCAGAATCAATTCGATAGCGCGTACAATTACCACAAACTGACAGATGTGTAGATCGAGCTCTGACCAGGGCCGAGAACAAAACGTTATGCCAGAACACAGGAAGCGGAAAAATGAAATCGAAAACGACAGACACGCTGAATATGAAAGCCGACCTCGAAGCAGGTCTCGATTCTGAATCCCAGCTGAACATGTAGGATTAACCTTAACTCCTACAGCCGAAAAGCAAGACGAACACATTATTACTTCGCTTAAATGTCTGTAGATAATAATGTCGATGATGTTGGCTTTTAAATGAATCTAAATACTAGTCACATGCCGCTAGTATGAGAGACCGCAGCCTGCATGGCTGTTCCCGCGCAGTTCTTCACAGCACTGCCGATCACGGGCGGTGCCTATCTCTAATTTATATTCAATGAACTGACTATTTATTATTACGATAGAAAAATATATCCGCTTTTTAGGTATAGATTGATTAAGTTAAGTGAGTGAAACTTGCCGTGAAAGTAGAAAGAAGGAAGGAAGGAAGGGCAATTACTTGCGACGGGAGCGCTACATGCGTTACGTTAGCTCGTCGCTAAGCACAAACGCTTTGCGGGTACTGCCTTACAATGCCAACTAGGCGTTCCCTGATCTTCGCTGGACAAATTTTCACGCATATAATCACAGCTATCGAGAGCCCATGGCCGAGACAACATTCGTTCATAACAGCGGTATGACAAAGTGGCGCTCCGAAATCGAACGGAAGGCAGCTCGCCAACGGCAGTCGCCAGGGTTATCAAGCACTCGGTGTTGCTTGCACGTACGGAACTTCGTGCGATATTAAGAAGGTTACTACTTCAGATACGACTGAATTTCTTTCATTTCTGTGAAGGCAGGGATACGTCTGGTTGACGCTAGTCTGGCCGGCCAAAAACTGTTCGTTTATTGTCTTGTTAGAATCTAGAGGAGTCCCACTAACGCATGCATTGCGTCGGATCCTCTCACACCACTGGACATGGCGAAGCAAAATAGATGGTCTCATCAGCGAGATGCTGGCCACAAGGTATAGCGCTTAATTCGGTTGGACATGAGGGCATTCGCGACTCGCCTGTGGCAATGTTCCGGCCCTCTGGCAGTCACTGTCCGACCGTGTCTGTCGGGAACAGTTTGAGTTCATGGAGGAATACAAGCATTGCAGTAGCATTCAATGAATCCGTGCAGGACGAGCAATACGGACCAGGCAAAATACAACCAAATCCAGTTTGGGATGTATATGATATAATACAACGAGTATGTATATCAAAACCCTATCATAGTAATAATTATTAGAAGTAGAGAAATGTTTATACATTTCAACATTAAACTTTATTATGCCATAGGAAACTGAAGAGACAGTGTGTGTTGCTTCTTGTATACAACAATACCAGTAGCATCGTTCCGCCATTAGCTCAAACTGGTCCCCTTATGCTGTACATGACGCTGCGGGACAATCGACCGCCTCGACAAGGTCGTTCATCCGATTATAAATATTTTAGAGCTAATATAATTATCTTAATTACTATTATCATGTGGTAAGTGTTTGATTTTTGGACTGATTTGACTGACAGTCCGATTATTTGATATATCCGATCGAAGAATGTTCTAAATCGGGTCACCCAGCGCCGCATCTTGCCAGCCCTTGGCAAGCCAAAAAAAAAATACAAAAAAGTTCGCAAGCGCTGTCCGACCGAGTGCATCCCTGTGGCACCCCCCCCCCCCCCCCCCTGCAAACGCTGTGGCGTTTTACAGAAATAAACCAGAACATGAGCAAAATAGCGCATACATGATTTATAATAATAGTAAAAAAACGGTGGAAAAATGTAGAGGATGCATGCTGACAAAATAATGCCACTGGAATAAAGACTAATCAAAACAAAGGTAACGATTAACTATAAATATGCAGCAACGCGTACCGAGTCGAGAAAAGCTAAATTTCCGAAACAAAAAAATTACTTGTTAACTAATAGAGGGCAATGAGCAGAAGGAAAACTCCAACGATAGTCAATGATACAACATGAAAAAAAACAAGCTGACAAAACAGACGTCGGTGAAAACGCCAAGAGATACAATAAATTTTGAAAATTACAAGCAGGCAAAAAAAATTAAAATAATTTTTTGACAATAATGATTCCGAATGCTGTGTCGCACGTTTCGGACCGAAACGTTTCTCTCATATCCAAGATTGTGCACAATACGAAACGAGCAACTGCAGACGTTTTTATGTTAATTTAAACCAATTTGCTAAACGAACGAAAGGGAGACGTTCGTCTTAGCTACGAAATGCCCTTGTTGTTATCGTGTAGAAATTCTCGCTTTGCAAAATAAACTCAACATTTCGAGCACAAGAGACTTTTGATAAAAATGCGATCGAAGAAGAACGAAGTACGCAAGATCAACGACGATTATTATCGACGCAAAGGCCAAAGTCCCTATGCCTAAAAAGGTCCAGAAAGAAAAACCGAGCTTCGAAAAATAGCGTGTTGTTTCCGAGAGCGCTTAGTTGGTCCGAAGCGGGTGGCGACTAATGTGATGGAAGGGAGCACGCTAAACAAGAATGGATGCGGCATGTTTATACAGGATGAGAACAAGCGAAGACACCGCGCGCGATATCGTTTGGGGCGTTCGATGCGATTGTGCTGTGTGTTCCTTAAGTGCGAGTTGATTTTTTACATTGCGTTTTCTACCAAGACTATCCAAACCCTTCGCAAAAATACAGGGAATGGTCAGTCTCCAGCCATGGCGAGGATATGAAGTCTACACATCTACATGAGATCATGAACAAGGTTTACATACTAAAATACGAAACAAAGAAATAAACCAAAAATTAAATGACTCACATCCCGGACGTCACGTTATCTTTATTTAAGATACTGTGTATTGCTCGCGTATGTGTACGAAGAATAGTGATCATTTTGTCTTCAACTAGGCTGTTAAGCTTTTTTCAATTTGGTTCCAGATGGCGTATATCGCTTGCACGAGTATGCATACATGAAGAGTATTAAATAGGCTTGTCCTAAGAAGTAATTCCTTCGCAGTCCTACCGAAGATCATGTCTCATACTTAGCAGATATGTTTCGACATTGTATGTATATAGAAACTAGATAAAATGCTAAAAGAATCATTATCGATAAATACTCTAATGAGTTTTTTTGAAAAATGTGAAACTTTTGCGCAACAGCAAGTCCTCGCTGTTGTCACCTACGAGAAATATAAGTAAAAATAATTAACCCAAAAGCTTATTCAGGTTGCTTATCGTTTTTTGCTTATATATATATATATATATATATAAGATTTTCAGCCACATACCGTATCTGCGCACACTATTCTTTTCGTAAAAATAAATGGAGTAAAATCGACGGACCTATTCAAGCATAACTGAACACTGATAGTTTCAAAATTCAACTAAATTTTGCTAAAAACAACGAAAAGAGCTTTCGTCGTCGAAAAAACTTATTGCGATACGCAGAAAATAAATATAAGCGTTGCTAGTATCAGCCTTCAGTGGTTCCTTTTTTTTAGTGCCGAACCTCAATCAGCTCCCAAAGACGCCTGCTCTCTTCCTCAACCCACAACATCAAACGGGTCTGGTACGCCCATTTAACCCGATAGGAAGGTACAATAGCACACTATAAGCTTTTCAGCCGTCGGTTAGAGTTGTGGACTGCCAAATGCTCTCTGTGTTCGACTCGGCAAACTGAAAAGCGTTTCGTTGCGTCTATGGCATCACACGATACACTTGTCCCAGAAGAGTTCATCGCTCGCGTAAACTTGATTTTTCTCCGTGCTGTACGTGCCATACCAACGTTGGATACCCAGCGCGATTGAAGTTGCCGGCCATCGAGTACTGCAACGTGTGTTTATCGACACACGTCGCTTAGGGTCGAGACTGAATAAATGGAAAGTTCCAGCATATCGGGTTCCTAGCTTGGGGTCGGCGCGAACGAAGCTGCCCACGCTGACAACAGCTCAACAAGATTCCAATGTCGTTTTCAAATTTTTGTTTTATAATCGTTAGATTTATTTGCGTAATTCTTCAATAGGCTAAAGGACGCTTTTTCTAAATTTGAACCTTCAATAAGATTATAGTGACACATGAAGAGGTGCACACTTGCCACACAGACCAAGTTTTCCTTTACATAATGAATATCTCGTGGCGCTCAAATAGGGTTTAGCTCGCTTGATTTTTTTCTTAGTTTTGTATAAACTGGCTTCTATCGGCTAAGCGAAACTTCATTTGGGACAGGAGCTGCTCGTTTTGTGATTCCAGCCACCAGATTCTGCGATGCGTTTAGCCGTGATAGAACGATCGTTTAATCGGGCTGACTTATTATCAACGTTCGGCGATCGCAGCCTTCAGATCTATCGAAGGTAAGCTTTTCTCAAGAATCATGGAGGGTGTCTTACAGCGAAAACCAAGATGATCGAGATCGAAATACTTCTCACACTGGGCTTGACAACATAGTGATATGCCTGTTACCATGTTAATCAACTGACGGAGCGTCAGCCGGTTATATTACTTCTGGCTACGAGTTACAAAAAGTCTGCGATAGAAAAATCAATGCGTTACAGACGTAGTAATAAAAAGGGGTTTTAATGGGAAGGAAATATTCGTTCTAGCTATTTAGGTACAGCGAAATCTAGCTATCGATCTATTTTATTTCAGTTCCTGCGGTTCGATTGTATGGATGAATCACTAGAACAACGGGAATATGAAAACGCATTCTCCAATAACCATAAAGGATCACTATATTGATGACTATCCTGGCTGTATTCCTTTTTTCGGCTACACGTTGACTTTTTTTTACGATTTAATCTACAGTTATAGCCAGGGCGAGGGTTAAGTGACCGTGTTCAATATAAATAAATAAGTAGGTCTCAGCCTTTCCTACTCAACGTAGATACAAATTAACTATGCTCCTTTCTTTTGTAACCTACTTCTTTATTTTATATTATATCCCGCTTTCCGGGTCGCTTTTTAGCGTTAATTTAGTCTACCTATAACAGAGCTACATCCACCGTTTTCTGTTTTATTTAGTTTTACAATTATAACGGCCTTATAATAATAATAGTTGATAATAATAACAACAACAACAGTAAGTTAAGATACGCTATTTAAAGTTAAATCAAGCGTACTGGTTCGGCTGGATTCACTGGCCTGTAGCAACAGTTGTATACGACAACAGATTACGTATACGACCACTTACACTTAGTCATAAGTTCCTCTGCTTATGACTTGCTTATGATCTTGCTGCGTGAAAGCCACCGCGTTTATATAATATTTAGTACGCAACAATGTATATATATATTATTATCGTCATGTAACAGGTGAATTAGGGTGTGTTATTTTCTGTTGCCATTTTAGATATATAGATTTTTCATACGGCGGAAGAACTGAAATAGCAAAGGCAACCATCGAGCTAGATGATCTTGACGATTCGCGTGGCTATGCGTGAAGTCAGTGAGGTCATTTCGGTCACGTCGTTCAGCTGCAAACGTCGACTTTTTGGGTTTGTTGCCGTGGGCTTTAGTGAAATTTCAAATAAAAACATATCATCTTTCTACACGAGGTCTGTTTACATTAGTATATGTCCCTAGAAGATACACTGATGACGCATTTACCGATTAGGGTGAGACACTGGCTCCCATAGAGCTGATGCTATCTCCAGCATTACCTGTGTTTCCGATATGCTGAAAATATCTGTGTGTGAATGTACGATAGCAACGCAATCAATTACTTTTAGGCAATTTACTAATATTTAGTTGAACTTTAAACGACTACCCATTTGCGACTTAGGACAGCTTTCCCTAGCCTAACTACCTAAAGCCAAAATACCGTCGAGAACATTTTCGAGGCACTCTACATTCGGTCCAGATGGCAGATATATGTATATATACACTAGTATAACGGATATGAGTTTACCAGCATTACTTGTTGTTATTATTCAGTCACCACCATCATTTTCTACATATTTTACTGTATGTATGTATGTATATATATAGCAAGGCGAGATAATTATCGATAACGCCCCATTTCTGCGTCGCGACATCTAACAGAAGCAATTTAATAAATAAAAAACATGTTCGACGCCTATCAGAGTTTGCGCCTGTACAAGTTAGTTGCATAACAGAGTAGCAGATAGATCATCACAATCGTCACGTTTGACGTTAGGCTTCGCGAGGGCCTCGTCGCCGTAGAGGCTATAATTTGTGTTTTTTTGTGCTTTTTTGTAGTATCACTCTCTCTCACTATGACCAGGCGTCGAAAGAAAAAGCTGCTGTTTCTAATCGCGATTGATTCTTATGTAGCAGTAATGAACACAATTAGCAAAGTATTCAACAGCATACAGAAGAATTACATATAGATGTCTTCATTTCTTCTCTGGTTCGGTGCCTTTACGCGCCATCACTTGTACCCAACAGTTATTTGAATCATTGCCAATTCGTTTTTTATCAATGCGTATACGTGTGACACATTTCTGCTATCACAAAATTCACCATCGGTTTCATCACCGCTATTATGTCGTCGTAAGGTTTTAGTGTATATATGGCTTTTCGTAATAACATCAATTCTAGCTAAAAACGCATATTCCGCAACGCACAAACTCTACTTAGATAAAAGTGGAAGTTCCATTGTGTAATTAATTACACTGGCTTGATTAGTCATTAACATTGGCTATTCCGACATGTTCTTCATTATTACTTGGCCAAGCTACGATACGCCTATTTCTTAGCCAGCCTTTTCCAGGACCCTTTCCCGCCTTCGGTCTGGCCTGCTTGTCCTCTGCTAGTTATCGCATATTGTGATGCATTGTATACAGTGTGCAAGCGTCCACTTCTACCAAAGTATTTGCGCTTTTTATGAATGCTTTGGGACAATATGTATGCATAGATGTATAGTTGCGTATTTGTATGTGTGTAGGCACGATTCTAGTCAAATCCTACAGGATTTTTTTTGTGTTTTTTAAATTTCGCGCGCAACATCGTTTCACTAGTTACACTCAGCTCACTCCATATATAAAATTTATTTCTCGTCATCACCTTGTAATGTTGACCGTTTGGCGTGCAGTAGATCAGCCACGATGAGCCTGTTTTGACGGGTCGTTGCGTCGACGATAGGTCACTTATATTCGACAATCCGATGTTCCTCATTTCTTTCTTTTTGGTGATTTCTTTGATGGTAACATTCAGTTTAGATTCGTTTCAGCATTGGCAGATTCAGCACCTCCGGCACCGTAATTGTCTCAAGCTGGACATCACTTGGTATGTACTGGAAGCGTACAGCAAGCCGCGCTTTTGTATCCATTAAATAGTCTTTCGAGTTGTCTTTGGGGAACGTGTTCTTGATATACTCCTGCAATCGGCTAATAAATCTAGGCGAGAATGACTCTTCGTAGCCCTCAACCGGCGTGTACATTTGGCAAATTCGCAATAGTTGTCCACTGGTTAAATTTGGAACCATTTCACAAATATCAGGTATATCGTCTTCGCGTTTTCTCGCCTGCAGGACCTGAACGGCCTGTATAGCAGGCGCAAGATGGTCATTCACACCAAAGAGATGCTGTTCACGACTCCAGTGCTCAAGACGTGATAAGTTATGTCGTATTTGCACCCCCTTTGACCAATGGCACATATCTCGGCGTAGAAGCAAGTTATTGAGCGACATTGCGCAGATAAAATGATAAAGCTCTTTGAACATGACAACACGTACGTCTACATCCACCTGATGCGACTGGATTAGCTTGTTGAAGGCGCTTAACTCGTCAAGGAGTTGATCGAGCGCCTTTGTAGAATCTATCTCGTTTCCGGGCGTGTCACGACACAAGGACGCCTTCCGACGAAACAGCTGACTGCCGCCGGTAGCGTCGTGTTCGATGATGGCTGGAATAACGATTCGCTGCAATTTTTCGCTCATGGCTCGGATCACTTGTGTATAGATGAACAGGCAGATGTCGCTGATGATTTGTCGATACTGCGAGAGGTCAAAGTTACGCAAGCACTGCTCGTTCTGTCGAGCTGTGTTTTCGTTCTGGTATACTTCTTCACCGGAGTATTGGCGTAGGTTATTGAAGAACCGATACATAATTGTCAGCCACATGGCGGTGTACTCCAGGTCGTCCTTACGTCTCTTAATCACTCGCCTCACGTTCGTGATAACGTTGTTCAGGAGGGAGCGAACTTTTTGGTCGTCATTGCAATGGTCTACATGCCGAATCATCATGATCAGAATGAACGCAGGGAGGGCTGGCAGTAACTGCTGAGTGACTTTTGGCTTAAGGTCGATGATCAGCGATCGAATAATATGAGTTTCGTCCTCAATTTTGTATTCAAGCATGCCTAGGAACGAGCCCGTTGTTTCTGTCTTGTGTCGAATCATAGGCATCTGCAAACGGTAGAAGAAGTAGGAAACAGTTGTATAATAATAAAACGCTATGTGTAAATAAGCTCGAGAAGCACGTACATGAGATCTAGAGTTCTGTGCATGTAGAAGATACAGAAGATGTGCTGGATCATCTCTAAGTAGAGTACGGAAGAATATTATGCTCTGTTATAAACAAGAAACAATGCTCTTGTTCATTTAATCTATTATTGTTACCGCCATCAGCATCTAGCTCGTCGTCAATACTTACTGAATCAGAGACATCCGCATGATTATGATTATGTTGGTTGCTGCTAATCTTGTTCTGTCGTTTGAGCCTTCGAATCTGCTCAATAGTACGGTCATATTTTTCCTTAAGATCAACATTTTCCCGAGAGAGCCTGGCGATTTCACCTTGCAAAAAGCAGGTGGCTTTCTCTGCAGGCGTCATCTCGCTTAAAATAATCTGCTGCAATTTCTGGTTGTATTCACGGAGCTGGCGAATCTCTGCATTGAGATTCTGTTCACAATCGCGTGCTGACATCTTCACTGACTTCAACTCATTCTCCAGTTGGTTCAGCATAGTCTTCTGCGTCTCGAACGCCATGTAGATTTCACCCTCCTCCTCGCCTGATAAATGCATTCATTCATAGTATAGCGAACAGGTTAAAGCTTGTTGCATAGAATACTGGCCGAGATGGATGTATTCCTAGGTGTGGATACACCTTGTGTTACGACTATCAGGACGTATACATAAAAATAGAATCTAGCTTTTATTTTACGTAAACGTCAGAGTTCTCCAGTCCACTCGTGCGGTTCAACGGGTAAAAAATCAAGCATTGGTATGGTGCGCACTAATTCGGTATCTTTCACAAAGACGTTTTTTGGCGGATTTGTTTGCTTCTGCATCATCATACAGAATATCGCACTTGCTGCAGTCGGAGGGCTTAGGCCTAAATTCACCGATCAAGTTAACTGAGCTGATTGTTTCCTTTGATTTGTTCCGCGTTAAATAGTATAAAGAACCGATAGATCCGAGATCCTCACTATTATCTTACATGAATAATCTCATACTGAGATCATACTTTTCATTCCGCTCGATAGAGACAGTTCAAACCGTCAAAAATTGGCCCGCCGGCCATTTCGTCATTTACTTACGGTTAGGTACGTGAAATATTCCTTGACCCTCTCGGGTAAGAGCTTCCCGAAGGCAATGGATTTCCTCCTTCTTCGTGTCCAAATCTGCCCAAAGCTCTTCTAGGAGAGCTCGCGTCTTTGCGCTGCGATCATCTGTGCCGTTATTGGCATTGTCTCTGCCATCTTCAAATAGCGACGATGACGCAAGATCGCTGTCCCGTGAGCTCTCTGCCATGGACATGTTTTTCAGAGACTCTTTCAACTTAGTGTTTTCGCGCACCAGTTCGTGAAGCCTGAAGTGCATTAACAAAAAAAGGTGTTTACGTATAAAATTTCCTGGAACGTATAGATAATTACTAGCCGTGCATCTCGTCCATGGTAAACATCGCTTTGTAATATTTGTGAGTAACTTGTACTGTTCGAATCGATACTCTGCTGTTTTGTTAATAGGCTCAAATGTAAACCCCAGTTTCTCGTCTATATTTTTGCGTTACCATCACATAATGGCAAACCATAGTGCTGCCATCACGTCTTTGATGTATTCAACGAACGTATCACATTATGTTGTTTTTGCTTGTTTAGGGCAGTAGAGCACTGGCTTATAGCTTGTTACGTAGCAACATATATGGTAAGCTTGCAGTTGTCTATTTCCGTTCATTCTGTATTTTGTCGTACAATAAATCAGTCCTTCTCACTACGCTCATTCAAGTAGGAAATCTGTTTATTCAGGTTCGATCTAGTTGAAATACGACGTCGTATTTGAGCTACTTACCGTTTATTTAAACATATTAACACAGACATCTGGGTTTAGAACAGTGATGCCCACTATAAAATGGCATGCTATTTTCTACTTAGAATAAGGTCGTACTTAATAATTAAACTAAATGATAGATAAATTACGTTTTAAGTTTGCCGTACGAAACAACATGAGCGTTCCGCACATGAAAGTGATAAAAAATACTAGGTGAAGCGAGTAAGAAGAAAGCTAAGGCGGCCTTTTTTGGATTTGTTGTATTAGAGGTAAAATCGTAAATGTATAAAGTTTGTATCAAGGTATGATTTATGTAAATATACTGAGTTGTTTTCTACCGGGCAGTCCCGTATATATGTATATAAAGTTAGCCACAATGATTGAAGTGATTTTTGGATTGAAATTAACAAACCCGATTCAGGTTTTCACTGAATTATCAATGGATTAGTACTGGATTAAATGTAAAAGTAATTTAGTTGCACCTCATCATATCCTTAGCGGAGGGTTCTCCCATTTGCTGCTGATACTCAAGCTGCTTGGCAAGTTGGGCATTTTGAGCTTCCAGATCCTTGACACGCTTCTCGAACTTCAGAATTGTCGTAACATCCTCCCTACAGCACAAACAGATATACTGGTGTAAGGATTCGACTGATATTAATATCGTGATCGGATAGCACTTCGAAAAACTTAAATCTGAGAATCAGTTAAATAAGCCATGTTCTTTACCTTCAGATGAGTAGTGCGTGTATACTAGGAGGTACGAAAATACAGCCATGTCTAATCTAATGTATTATCTTTGTACTAAGCTGCATAGTTCGCAAACCCAAATCATAGTGTAGCTAATTTTAAAGGACCTGTTTAGCCCAGGTGTTCCTAGCACCAACGAACCTGATCGAGCCATTCCTGCTAACGGTCCCATATCCATGGTCACGCTCCAGAGCGTCCATAACTTCTTCTCCTTCGCGTCCAAGATCGCTGCCTGCACTGATTTCCGACGGCGTCCGTTGGTGCTGATTGTGCGGCTGATGTACCCGCAATGTATTCGAAGGACTAGAATGGGAATCTCCGTAGATCTTTGACATCATTCCATCGCGCTCTTCTAGAAGTCTGGCCAATATCAAACAAATAAACGAAGGAAAACGTCATTTAATTGTAGAACGTCTGCATAGACCGGTTGTGTTGGGAAGCTATTGCTGACAAAATGCAAAAAGATAAATTGTCGCTACAAATGTTGACGACTAGAGGATTGTTTTTCTTTTACTTGCACCTCGAGGGATCCGCAACTGTTTCACATGCCTCGTAAATTTGTTTTTGACAGGAATTCGTATAGGTAACTAGAGTGCAATACATACAATGTGTTTACCTACGGTATTTCGGCCCCGTATTTGCTACGGCAAACTAAATACCAAAAGAAGACACATAATCGTTAGACCCGTTTTCGACATACCCTCTACCTCTCCGCCCTACAGGCGCCGACATGCATTGGTAAATTACGGCTTAACTAATAGCTTGTCAATGTATTATTATGAAGTAAACTATGAATAATGCCATTTTCTTATGAAATATGTTGGTAAAATTCAACGGTTCACGATAATGCCTTGGCGACGAACCGCCATTTTGGAAATGACATTGCGAGAAATAGTTTTACTTGCGTTTGTACAAACGGAGAGAAAAACAATATCGGTCGATACTTGTTTCTGAAAATGTACGGCTTTCATAAGCACACAATGACAGAGTGACGAGAAGCGATTGGCGCCACCGCCTGCTACCTATATTCTTTCACGCAGCCGTTCCTTTTGACGGAAAATCCGCTCGATTCTAATGAGTAATAAATACCTATAAATATATAAATAATAATATAACCGTCTTCATCATTTGATAGTGAGTGTTCTACTATTTACGTTGTGATATTGTGAACAGCCAGTCCAAAATAAAGTTATAGGAAGCGAGGTTTACAGCGATCGGCAGGCCGAGTTACACAAACTTCGAACGGCGTGATCTACACAACCGGCAAAACGGCTCTGAGCGGATTGCAAAAGTTACCATAGATGAACTGAAAGCGGCTGATCAACGTCGAACCGTCGAGCACTTAATCTAATGTGGAGCACGCTAATACCAAATACGGAGCCCTCTACGGGGAGCCGACTCTAACGGTTGGTCAAATAAAGGGTATAAATATGAATAGTAGCATATAATGCGTGTGTAACGTAGTGATGTTTTATAAAATAGTTTAAATGAAGACCATTTTTTTTATTATTACTATGGAAACATAAATCGAAAGTCACCGATCTTTGCCTTCAGAATGACGGTAACATTCGTATATACACACACGTTACTATAGGCGACGATCTGAGGTAACGAAAGCGTAAGGCGTTCCTAGAATTAAACGCTTGTGTTGTATGTAGGTCATTTGGACAAAGTCTTATCTTGATACTCGATCCATATGAAATATTCGTTTCTACCGTCACAGAGCGATAATACCTTACAATGTCAGTAAGGGGGAAGGAGCATATCAGTCCATAAAGTTATAGACGCCTTAATGACACGTTAAGGCGCGTCATCATTCGCCAACTTTTTAAATGTATGCCACGCACCTTCGAACCGTGTAAAAAGAAATGAGACATTTTAATATTGTTGGCATACCCATCAGTGAGCCATGCCATAGTTTGTATCCACGTCTAGCGTGAGAAATACATAGAAAGCGTTGTACACGCGCACACGAAAAAATCGCATTCGTATCCATAAAGAGTCAGTAAGAAAATAATATAACTTAGATATTATTATATTTCTGGGTGTTCACTCTTTCCAATCAATATACTCGTCGCTCTGATTCCTTTGCCCGTTCTAACGCTACGACGAAGCCGTGATAGCGTGACTTAATTCCAACACTGTCGACTGATCTATACAAACCCACCGATCTTATTTTTATCATACCCATAGTGTACCCGAACGCCAAGACGATACGTATCATCGCACTTGACAGGTTCTAACTACCATGATCAGTTGCATATTTAAAAGAGAAGCAAAGTATATTAAATTAGTTGTTTATTAGGTGAAATACTTCGAAAAAAAATACGCACACAACAAATCAGAAACTAGTAGTTATCTTGGAATCGGTATGCCCTTTGGCTGAATGCGCTATTTAGTTGTTCAAGCCACCTTCAAAAAGTCAGTTAATCCACGGTCTTAATATGTAAAGTCCAAGCGGTGTTCCTGCGCAAGACGCATAGGATTACAATCCAACCGAACGTATAACATAATCCCACTTATTTAGATGCTCGTAACGAGCAATAATATGTTCAAAAACATTTAATGTAGCTATAAAGTGAACGACTACCGAAACAAAGTAAAAATGTTTACAAAAATTCGGATCAATAGCAGCAAATGTAAAAGACGAGCATACGCAATTATAGTTATTAAGCAATATACAAATTAATAGAATTTAAGAAAACCCACCGCTGATAATCAGTTTTGAGCTCCTCTAGCTCTTTCACCAGCAGTTTCTTTTCGTTAGCCCACCTATTAGCAACACCATCGATACTCGGAACATTATGTGGCGGGTCAAGGACCAGCTGCGCAACTATAGACTCCTTTACGGTCACGGGAATCTCCTTTGCAGGTGATTTTAGTTGTTCAATTTCACAGCTTAATACCTGCGAAGAATTAGTGGAAGCAGTAAGAACTCACTTTCTGGAAAACTTGGTTTGTCGTCGACTTATATGTGCACTGAATAAATAAACAAACTACATCATATTATAGGACTCGAGTTCTTAATCTATTTATAGGAAAATTTCCATCAGCACGAACGCGAAACCAGAAGCCTACTGACCTGAATTTTTTCTTTCGCATCCAGCTTTTCCTTTCGTGAGATTTCCAGCGCCTCGTTGAGGGCGGTCATCCTCTCTTCGTACTCTCGATTCCTGTCATTGGCAACCTTGAGAAGCTCTTCAAGTGTTCGGACCTTGTCCTTCCATTGGTTTTCGACGGTTGCCAGTTTGTTACGGGCCTCGTCTCTAGCCTTTGCTAGATCGATCATCTCCTGTTTCTGCGTGATAATCTTATTCTCAAGTCCCTTATACTGCGTCTTCCAGTGTTCGACCTTCTTCTCTTCTTCCTTCATTTTCTTACGCAGCTTCTTGGCGAGGAATCGTCGAACTGCAGCTTGGCACAGTACAACCTTACGCATTGAACGCACAAATCGACGTCTCTCCAAGAAACCGCGTACCTGAGTCTGTATAACGACAGCTGCACGATCGCGCCGAACAGCCTCGCAACGTTTTCGGGCCAGATAACCGCGAGCCAGGCACTGTAGCTGTAATGTAAGCTTTTTGATTTTTTGGTACTTTCGCCTGGCCAAGAAGCCCCGTACTGCCATTTGGATCTTCGTCACCGCAGTCGTCTCTCGTAGTGTCTGGGCCTTTCTGCGTGCGAGGACACCGCGTCCATATCGTTGGATCCCGTAAACGGCTTTAACAATACGGAGGTATTTTCGTCGATAGACAAAGCCCTGGATCACCTTCTGGATCATAACAGCTGCCTGATTGAGTTTATCGTTTCGTAATTTCTCCATGTAGGCAACTTGGCCTGCGCGGAAAAAGATTTTGGTTTTGCCAAATTGAAATTTATCTGGATCCTTAAGTACGAGTTCGAGAATTTTAGCGCAATTTTCTTTCTGGTCGACGTTATTTTTAAGTGTTTTAACCGTTGCCAGCATTCGGTATCTGCAAGATATCGAGAAGATTTAGAGTGTTAGGTTGCGTATTGTTCAACCTATACTTTTCTAGGCGCATTAATAGGGCACCATAGATTTGTATAAGCCTAGTAGCTATGATACATGCGACCTATTCTAAATAGGGTGCACTTGTATCGGGGAAGTGCACACCAAACGGCAGTAGCTCTTAGTCTAAAGGCGCATAATTGGTTCGGTTAACTGTCAACTGCAGAGCAAGATAGCATGCGCATATAATTAATACTTACAGTTCACAGATAAGTTATATTTTCGTTTTTACCTTTGCATGAACTCAGCATATGTCCAGCGTGATGGGAATCCGGCTGCCGAAATTCGTACGGTCTCGAGAACGCCGCAGGCGCGAAGCTGCTGCGTTGCTCGATGAACATCAAAGACGAAGGCGCTTTTATCATCGTTCGGCTTAATGCATCGCACATAATGAGGCGTCGTCGCGTTAAGGGTCTCCATAAGTAGCTGAAGGGATAGCCGAAACTGGAAGCCGACTGTCATCTTGTGCTGCCTCTTCGCGCCTGAAGAAAAGAGGACACATTAATAGCAATAGGCACCGTTAGTGTTTTTTTTCGATGATACATTGCTAGCGTGTTTGCCTGCTGAACTCAAAGACGTGTGAGATGGGCTAGGTTCGAAACTGCGCGTAGACGCTTTTCGTTTTACGCTAGGAGCCATCAGGAGCGGTTGGTGGGTGTACAAACAGACACCGAGTTGATGCATACAAGCTTCTCGGCGTGATAATTCGTTCTCATTATTTTACTAAGTACTTGTATTTTATTAAACCTTGTGCCAAGTGAAGAGTTTGTCGGAAATCAAACAAAGACAGCTAGTTTTAAAGGTCGAAGCTTATGCTTAGTTTAATATCTAAAAGTCGTTTTATATTATACCAAGTTTAAAGCTCTTTTTAATTATTCAGAATGACGTAACGTAAACAAGTTCCGACTAAATAAATATTATAGCTGAGAGCACTTCTGCCAACAGAATCATTCCTGCTGGTGATGCCTGCCAGACTCCAGAAGACGCGTTAGACCTACTTAGTAGATTGAGTTCCTTACTGTGCCTTTTTATAAGAATGCTTTCTAATACGCGTATTAATGTCCGTCTAATATAACTAGTTTACCATAGAAGTATTATTGTCACGTGTACATTTTAATCTCTGATTTCAAAATGCACCCAAGATGATCCAGTTAGGTTATGAGGGCTCTCTGCCACGAATATAGGTGTTATTACACAGGTCTTAAATAGCTTTACATGCAATATCTAGACGTACGTAATTTACGTTCAGAGTACTGGGAACAACAACAAAATGGTGTCGATGACTTGGACACCTCATTCGAACATTTCAGTCAGCTGTCAGCTTGACTTCAATGCTCCTTTAGCTAGCATGTATGCCATGTTTTACTATCAGTATTTTGGTAATAGTATTTCATTAGCGATACCTTGCCGATGTACTTAGATTGTCCGTGCAACGTATAGCGACTTTCTAATTTAACGCATAACGAGACGTTTTTAATATGAGCGTTCGCATAGCGACGCTGGTACGGGATTGACTCAGTCAGAATGTTATGGAAGAGGGCGGATACGAGAGCAAAAATATGGCGGTCTAACTACTGAACCACTGCACACGGCCACTAGCAATAAACGAAAGCCAGGCAGAAGTTGTACGCTGGAACCACCGGTGAAAATTGGGTCTCATTTTACGTGCTATTTCGGCAATTAATGAAAAAAAAAAAAACGTATGTTCAAACACATATTTCCTTTGTTGTTGTTTCTTTTTTTTAGCAGATATCTAAACTGGTATACTAGTTTGAACGTTTCACTGACGCGCACAACTCAATATAGTTTCCCAAAAAATGTTGAAGTTTAACACGTTCTATAATGGCAGTACTAAAACCAAGTCCCGGCGACTTCTCGGCAAAGCTCTTTGGCGAATTTACCTGCCTCGTCTACAATCTTGAACCACTGCTTATTACTGGCTAGACAGATGATGGTGGCCCTCGACAACTGTGTAGCGGATAACATATTCGTCTACTAAACGTAGGGGTGGTCTAGTTTCGAATCCGCGTGTAGATGCACTTGGAACCCCCATGGCTTAGGGATGTAAAGCATGATATACGGTTACGTATAGATAGATCATGACAATGGCCGCGTTCAACGAACGTAGATCGAAAGAAAAATAAATGCAATATTTGCTAAGCAAATGTGAATCGGGCATCGGCCTGTATATCGAAAAAGGACAAACCAGCTAGACGGCCGTCAGCTCTATTACGATCACTATTCGTACCCAATATTTCGCAGGACTGCGGTATTTGAACCATACCACAATAGCGCACAATACAAGAAGAAGTAACCCTGAAATGGGCTGTAGGAAGTGACCAGTTCTTGTGGCAACACGTTCGAAATCAAACACGTATTAGTCAAAAGTAGCCTAAACGCAAGATACAGTGGAACACCGAGCTGCCAAAAAGAAGCTACATAGACGCCCGCATCAAAGCAGCAGGTGGCTGGCACCTTTCTTGTCGACGTCGCTCAAAAGCGAACGGAGCTCGCGTCCCTCTTCTGTGGTAAATGTTCCACTTTGTTTCCTCACGATTGTCGTCATCTCTGACCCTTGTTTTTCGTATTCAGCTGTTCGATCGACTGCTGGGACGCGTTTTCTGCACATTCGTGTACCCATACGCAGACAGTCAACCAGACACAGCAGCGAGAAAGTAATACAAAGCCAGAGCAATGACACAAAATGGCCTAAATCAAAAATGTCGTACATCAGCTGTCAATGCAGTTCCGACAAACAGCTGAATCGTTATTACCGATACTGTAAAGTTCTTCTGAGCTGCGCACGTTCGATTTTTATATTTATCTATTCGTAAAATATGCCGCGATAATAACGACAAAAATGCATAGGCACCAGCAGTAGGCTCCTCTGTGCAGCACGAAAATTGACCGTAAGACAACGCTTCAGTCGCAAACAGGGAAACAATGGTGGACAACGATAATACCCCATTATTTATAGCATAAATGATGGGCTATTATGATTCGTAGATCTTCCAATTGAAATATTCTACTCAGTAAACAAAGGAACGAAATAGCTATTTTTGTTCCGTTTGATATGTGTCGAACGATAATCTATTTGTTCTGCCAGTAATATCAATGGGAAAAGTTCTATGGGGCATTACTTAACTTTACCAGTTGGTATTGGTTTGTCATTTCTAACTAGATTTGCCATATTTTATAGCAGCAATGTTAGCTCAAAGCAGCTACCTCTAATTATATACAGGGGGCTATATTTTAATTGGTTTTTATTATCTTCAGGCAGTCCTGTATTGAGAAGGTGCCGCAATGTGGCACACGGTAAATAATCGTTGCTATAAAAAACAATACGAAAACCTTTACGTCAAACTGAAGATTGCAGCCGACAGTTTGCATATAGACCTTAAATCGTTGCCGATTTTATGTTGAGTACACTCGATATAAAGCGATCAGCCTGCTCCATATTCACCTGGCCAAAGGACGCTGTTAGTTTCTTAGGATATGAAAGTACAAAATCTCGTTTTGCTTAATTTAGCTTTTTTTCTGTACTGTTTCCTAGTGCTTATAACCCACTTGTAGTGCACACAAAACGTGTTTTTTTATAGGCAGTCACCGGGATACCAGAACATCTTTAACAGTTGACAAGTTACTGAGCACCCATGCCTATCGTCCGAGTTCACGGGCTTATTCTTTACAGCCATAGCTCGCCCCTCGCCCACCACTTTCTTTCGCTCGTTGGACACCATCCATCGTCTGTCCATGAGATCGTGTTTACCCTTGCAGTTACCTTCCATATATACGACAAGCTGACTAGGTGACCTGAGCCTGTTGTCAAGGGCGCTGTTTGTTTACCCAGGCTAGAGGGAAGCCGAACGCTTCATGTTTTCACGGAGCTTTATCTCGTCGTAATTATCATCGTGATGATTCCTGTCGTCATCCTTAGTGACAACAGCGACGCGTGTACAAATATGTTGTGCGTAAATTCTACTACGATGATTAAGAGCGTCTAATAACTGCTAATTAATAATTTGTGTTAGTAACTTTTTTTTTGCATCAGCTATATCATTTGGCTTATGCCAGTTCTGGGTCCTAGCAGGAACTGGCAATGTGGTTTAATCTTGACCACCGTCTCAGTATCGAGAAAACGCCCAGCCGATGAACGGATGATGAAGTTCTGTTGAGTCTTTGACGGGTCAGCGTGCCTGGGATAATCGGATAACACTCGAGAGGTTGCAAAAAGACTTTATAAAATCCCGCGTAATCTAGCACCAGTACTTGAACTAGGTTGAAGCAACGAAGACCGCAGAAATGAGCTGACTTCAGGTAAAATTGGGACAATAATAAATCCGAGTCCATTCAGGCAGAATACATGAGTTCCAAGTAGATCCAGTTGATAAAAACAGAAATACAGGATTCTGTGCTTATAAACTGTACTGGGGACTGGTAAAAAGAGAAGGGCATTGCAATATTTCTCTAACATTTGCCATCGACCATGAAAGTTAACTCTCCATTTTAGCGCATATACAAACACAACGGCGATCGGCGTGGGTCAGCGACCAACATTCGTAAGTTAGCTATATAATCGTCAAACGTCGGTAGGATCAAGTGGAACCGTCCGTTAGCACTAAGTGCAGTATTACTTATGGCGCTAGCCCCGACGCCAAAGGCACCTTATTTCTTCAAATGCAACCCTTTTATCTGGAAGAGTATTTAATTCAGGTTGGCAACTGACCATCTTCGTGACTATTTGTTGCATAGCATCAAGTATAGTGTCTTTTTATTTTATCAAGAAATGTTGTTTTCTGAATATAAATCAACAAAATAGATTTATTTGCGACAAAAAAAAACACAAAATTGAGATGTTACGGAATGTTTCGACCTGTGCACCACCGACGAATACAATACCTCGCTTGAAAACGTTCAGTCAGAAAGTTATAAGTTCACATCTCTCACCTTCTCGCCCAACACCTCCAGTAACAGTGTCAAAACCCTCATCAGAATTTGAAGGCAATAGTCCCTAACGTTGTGTTCCCTGCACGCTCTCTTTCTTTCAGTCATAATTTTTCCCTACCATCCTTCAGACTGCTTCGTTGATCGATCATAAAAGCCCAAAGTCTTGACCATGAGGGATCAAGTGGCATCGCATTGTCAATATTAGCAGCACCGGCGAAAATTTTGACGACGAAGCGAGGAAGAATACTTCTACTGTGACCTGTGTGTCTGTCGGTTAACCTGTTCGGTGCACTGCAATAAGGGGGTACATCATTGAGGTAAGTCATCACTGACCGACGTCCGTTTTAGCGCTAGCGTTAGGCGCCCACGCTAATGTCTCGTGCATATTCCACTGCTGCCTATCCAATAGCAACGCATAAATGCCGCGAGCCATTTCCAGTCCGGTGTGTTTGGTAGAGCAGAACAAAGCATCGATCGATCCACTCTAAGACAATGCATATAGTCTCGGCGATAAAGATAGTCAAAGTACGGTACG